AGAGAGAGAGAGAGAGAGAGAGCTCCATTGAAGAAAATCGGTTGGGTGGTGCAAGAGCTAGTGTTCATGGGTTGAGTCGTGGTAATGGCACTCTCTCAAGCTGTCCCAGCCCTAGCTTTCTTCCGAGGCAGTTCAACTCAGACAGTAGAGTGAAGCGCTCCCCTCTCTTGGTTGTAGGTGCAATTTTCTATGCTGATCTCTCTCTCTCTCTTTCTTGCTCTAGAATAACGCATACATGACGCTGTTTCTTAGGTGATTTTTGACATTGTTGTGGCTTCCTGTGTTTACTTGCATTATTTAAAGTTCATGCTTTCGATGGGTTCAGTTTCTGTGTGTGATATAGGCATCCTTTATAGGCTTCTTGAATGTGGAAAACAGCATCGGAGTGTCACTAAATATGGATGCTTAACTGAATTTAACCTCCACTGTGGTGTTTCCCACTTGGGATCATGCTGGGATGTGAATTTGAATGGTCCTAGCTGATGTTTATTAAGCCCTTGGTGAAAACCATGTCCTAGATTGCCACCATTCTGGAAATGGTCATTTATGATTTGAATTTGACCTTAAAACTTTGAGTGGGTTATCATATTGACATGCTAACTTCTCTTACTGTTTATCTATAATGTCCCTTTGAAATGTTAGTGGCAAAGCTACACTTGATTCAAAGTTTTGCACATTTATATGGCAATATGTTCGAGGAACGGTAACGTGGCACATGGTCTGTTTGTGTCGGAGACCCATTAAATTTGCTTTCGATTTTTACCCTGGCCTTCAACTCTCCTTGTACTAAATTTCTCTCTCCATCATTCTTCTGTTTTTATATGAAATTATGAATTCTATACTACCACGTTGGTGCTGGTCTCATCAACACAAGAACCACCTGCTCTTACTGCCAAAATCTTGATTTCAGAGTACTTCTCTTCCCACCCACCAAAGAAAAACACACGCGCACACACACAGATGTTTCCAATTGGATGTCTATAGGAAACGAGTCGTAAAGGAAACTGCAGCTACAAATCGAGGAGCATGCAAGGTACCTCCAAAAGATGGTCGATGAGCGACAGATATGCGGTGAGAATCTAGTCAGAAGCCAGAATTTCTATATTCCTTTTTAGAGAAACATCTCATAAATCTTGAAACATTGAATCAAGTTTAAATTTTGAACTTTTGGACAGGACTCAATCAAGATTCAGTTTAGGATATGGTCAAGAGTCATGAATGAGTTGGTGGCAGTCTTAGACTGCATTTGGGTTGTGGCTCTTACTTATAGCATAAGACAGTGATGCCATCATAGTTGGGTCATGTCAATTCATCAATATATATTGTCTGGGGGTCATCTTAAACGGGTAAACTGTCACAATTTATCCCCAATTTTTCAAGCTTATGCAGTATTTACTTCATGGTGTATATATTTTTGGTAATCATGTTCAATACCTATTGCTTTTATCCCTTATGACAATGGCTGAAATGTTGAGATCTTGAGATTTTAATTACTTTTGTTAAGCATTTAAGTATTTTTGCTTTTGTTCCTTATGACAATGGTTTAAAATATCAGTTGGTTTACCTTCTCTTAATTTAATGGTAACATGGTTTGTAACTGTTGGCATGATGTGGATGTGGAGGCGCGACTGGTGCAATTGCTCCTACCTGAGTCCCGAACTCTTGACCATCATCCATGAGGCTCCTAGTCGATACACTTGGCATGGATTGCAGTTCAGTTTTTACCCCAGCTCCTAGCTCTTATGGCTACTCTCTCTCTCTCTCTCTTCGTTTTTTGTTTTGTTTCGATGGGTCCCCTGTTTTTAGTCTCGTTCTATGTGTATTATTAATGCATACTGGTTGTTTATGGGTGATCTCTCTCTCTCTTTATATATATATATCTCTGTTTGTTATTTTTTTTTGTTTTGATGGGTTCCCTATTTCCACTTTGTTTCTGTGTATTAATGCATACCGGTTGTTGATGGGTGATCCCTCTCTCTCTCTCCTTTGTTCCTTGTTTTTTGAAGAGATGCTCTGTCTCTGTATAGTTCTTACTAGCAAGTTATCTTACATGAATAATGTGAAGGCTAATAAATCTGCACACAAAGAGTCCGTTCGTGACTTGAGGTACGTATTTGTGACTCTCAAAAAAAAAAAAATGTTAAAACTTTTGATCGTTTAACTTTTAGTTGCAAGTAGACATGTATTTATTAATCATCCATGGGCAATATATTGACTTATTCTTTTTTCACAGTTTCTCAAGGATGGACCTGAAGTTTTGCTCTTGCTCTAAGGATGGTACTATTAAAGTATGGGACTTTGCTCGATGCCAAGAAGAGCGGAGCTGGAAATTGTGCCTTGCTTATCAAGATGGCTTTGGAGAACCCATAATTTTCTGTGTTTAACGTACTAAATTTTGGGAATGGGGTTGAGGTTGTGGTAGTAACACCAGTTGAGCTTCCTCAGTTACTGGTTTAGGTTTTTATTCCCACTAAACCGCTTAGGAAAGTAAAATTCCTTGTATAGGTGTGTGTTTTTGTAGAAGAAATTGAGAAGAAGAAGCAAGAAAGAAGAAGACAGCTTTACGTAGTTCGGTCTCTTAGACCTACATCCACGGTTGAAGGGCATTCAGTTGTGCCCACTATTCCATTCACACAATATTAAATAGAAGATACAAGATAAGAAAAAAATAGAAACTGATTCCCAAAATATCTCTTAAATATATCACCAAGATATTCGTCACCTTTAGCTACCCAAAATATGGGGGATTTTGGTTACCATCCGTGTATCATGTTTGAGTAGCTACATGTTTTCATTTTAACACTCCCCCTCAAGCTAGAGTGTTGATATCTGTCAAGCCCAACTTTCTTAACGTTTCTTGAAACTGTCCTTTGCTTGTGGCCTTTGTAAGGATATTAGCAAGTTGATTTTTGCTTCTGACAAATGGAGTAGTAATTTCCTTGGCTTGAACTTTCTCTCTCACAAAATGACAATTTGTTTCTATTTGCTTAGTCCGCTCATGAAATACGGGATTTTATGCGATATGTATAGCAGCTTGGTTGTCATAGTTCATAAACATTGGACACAAAATATTAAAACCCATATCTCTGAGAAGAAATTTTTGCCAAATTAATTCGTAGGTTGTAGTTGTCATGGCTCTATATTCGGCCTCTGCACTAGATTGAGCAACCACTAACTGTTTTTTACTTTTCCAAGTTACAAGGTTACCCCTTACAAATGTACAAGACCCTGTGGTGGATGTTTTATCTATAGGATTACCTGCCCAATCAGCATAAAAAAATACAATAATATCAGTATGACCATTCTTTTTCATTAAAATTTTCTTCCAAGAGATGACTTAAGGTACCTTAAAATTTGATTGCAACTTCAAGATGAGCAGTTTTTTGAGAATGCATGAATTGCCTTACCATACTGGCCGCATAAGCAATATCAGATCTAGTGATAGTGAGATATACAAGTCGACCAACCAAATGTTGAAACATCCCAATATCTTAAAAGGCTTTGCCTGAGTCTATGTTGGCTTTATAATTTGTTTCAATTGGAGTATCAATAGGTTTACACCCTATCTTGCCAGTTTTGCACAAAAGGTATAAAACATATTTCCTTTAAGATATAAAAATTCTTCTGTAAGAGTAAGCAACCTCAATTCCAAAAAAATATTTGAGTTTTCTCAAGTCTTTAATATCAAATTTTGTATGAAAGTAACCTTCCAATTTGTTATAGCATTTGAACCACTTCCTGTTATAACAATGTCATCAACATAGATAAGAACAATAGCATTCCCAGATTGCCTTCTTTTTACAAACATGGATGTATCGACATTAATTTGAGAAAACCCTATATCAAAAAGGGCTTGACTTAACCTTACAAACCATACCCTGGGAGACTGTTTAAGCCCATAGATTGCCTTTCTGAGTCTGCAAGCAAGAGTTTCATTGCCTTCTTGAGGATGACCAAGAGGAAATTTCATGTAAACTTCTTCTTCCAAATCTCTGTGCAAGAAGGCACTTTTTACATCTAGTTGGTATAAAGGCCAGTCATTGTTGGCAGCAATAGAAATCAAAACTCTCATAATATTCATTTTGACCACAGGAGCAAAGGTTTCCTTATAGGAAATACCATAGGTTTGGGTGAATCCCTTTGCAACAAGTCTCACCTTGTATCTCTCAATAGTTCCATCACTTTTGTATTTCATTTTATAGACCCACTTGCATCCAACTAGTTTTTTTTCCTTTAGAAAGAGTAACAACATCCGAAGTATGATTTTTCTTTAATGCAACACGTTCCTCTTTCATAGCAGTCCTCCATACAACATTTGAATTAGCTTCCTCGAAGTTAGTGGGTTCTTTAGTTAAGAGATAATTTCTTAAGATCCATCTGTTTTTCAATGGGGTAACGAATTTTGGGATTGCTTTCTTTAACATGATATGTATAATGATCATTTAAACCATGAGGAGGTTGGCTAATATGACCAGATCGTCTTTGGCTGAAAGTCTTAAGGAATTATTTCTCGTTGATTTTCATTTGAGTGAACTTCCTCATTGGAGTCTTGTGGTATTTCAAGAATAAATTATTGAGGTACTTCCTGATTAAACATATAACTCTTAATGTCATCGACTCTAGAATTAAGACCATCCATTCTTTAGAGTTCTTGGGTAGAGGTTGTCTTGCTAATCTCCCCTCGAGGCTTATTAGTTTCAAAATAATGGAGGTGTTCATTGAATTCAACATTTCGGTAAACATACATTTTCTTGGTTTTTGGGTCATAGCATTTGTAACACTTTTTGGTTGGTAAATATCCTATGAATATACATTTAATTGATCGTTTATCAAGTTTATCTCTATGCTTTTCTGATAAATGTACAAAGCATTCACAACCAAATATCTTTTAAATGCTGAACACTAAGAGGGCAACCATGCAACATTTCATATGAGCTTTTATTATCCAAGATTCTAGTCGGCGATCGATTTCTAAGATGACAAGAAATAAGAATACCTTCAGACCAGTATGATTTAAGAACATTCATTTGAAAAGTAAAGCACGTGTCACTTCAAGAAGATGTTATTTTTCCTCTCAACAATTCTATTTTGCTGAGGAGTTACTACATATGACATCTGATGGATGTTCCCATGATCTATCAAATATGAAGAAAAAGGTTTATTTGTATTTTTTGTGCCACTATTAGTTCTAAAAATTTTCACCTTAGCATCAGTTTGATTTTTTATCGTGGCATGGAATTCCTTAAAGGCAATGAAGACATCACTCTTAAACTTCAATAGATAAATCCAAACATAACAAGTTCTATCATCGATAAAGGAAAGCACATATCTAAAACAAGAAAAAGAATCCACTACTTACTGATTCTATTAGAATTTTTAAATGGAAATTTGGTATACCCTACCTTGAAAAGCAACTTGCTCAGCAGAAAAAATAGCCAAGCAATTATATTCTTTTGTGATTTGATTAATTGACAAAAGTTTTAAATGGAATGAAGGAATATATAAAACTTCAGATGGTTTGTCCTTAGGAGAAATGCTAATATTCCTTATTTCACAAACTGGTACTATAGTCCTATTGGCCAATGACATAGGACTCCTTGAAGACATGTATTCAAACCCTTCGTGTCCTTCACAATGTCCAATTATATGGTCAGTAGCTCAAGTATTAACAATCCAAGTAAGACAATTTGTAGAAGATAGATGAGCAATAAAATTACCTCGAGCAATAGGCGACATCTCAGAAGAGGAAACAATGTTTGACTTCCCAATTTGTTGAAGTAACTGTTTTAGCTTGTTAACATAGATGAGCATCTCACTTTGAGCAACTTGAGCAACATGTTTTCCCCTGCCATAGGGTGTTTTATGAAGAACCCAACACTTTTTTTTAGTGTCCCAACTTTTTACAATGAGTTCATTTAGGTCGTCAGCGACAACGACCACGGCCACGACTAGTATTCTCGAATTTGTCATCAGTGGTGATAATGTTTTCAGCTTTTTGAGACTCAGAAACAAAAGTTGATTTCGCAATGTTGTCTTTGAGAGCCTCCTTTTTAATGATAGGGTTCATAACCTTGCGCCTATTTTCTGCTTTCTGAATAGTGGCACATACAGAAGTACAAGAATGAATTCAAAAGCCATTAAGATTTGACTTCTAATGGCCTCATACTCAGGAGCAAGACCTTCCAACATAGCAAAGGTTTTATCTTATTCGACCTCCAAGCATTCCAATGTACTCACCAAGTGACTTTCCTCGTTGTTTAAATTGACATATATCTTGTTTGAGTTGAAAAATAATGGCTGCATTGTTTTTTTCTCCATAAATATATTTAAGAGACTTCCATAAATCTTCAGCATTAGCATAAAATAACATCCCTTCACCAGACTCTCACTCTTCATAATAGGATCATTGGGTTTTGGAGTTTTTTTTTTCATTCACAAAACCTAACTTACATTTGCTGCTGAAATAAATGATTGCAGCTCTAGACCAAGTTTCATAATTGGTTCCATTAAGGAGCATGGGAGTAATTTTCAAGTTTGGGTTGTTGCCCTCATGCACTACAATGTTTGAACTAAAATTTTGATCTCCCATTCAGAAGAAAAGACTTAGAGATTACCTTATTTCAGACAAAGAAAATAGGCAGCGGTGATGGTCAGATGCTAATGAACCACTTTGTAGAAGAGAGAGCACGATCAATTCAGATGTTTTGAGATGGGGGCCTTTTAATGCAAATTTCAACTGATGCAACGCTTATGGAGAAGCTTTGAGGTTTAATTATGCACACAATCATATACAGCAAGTCAATCGACGAGCAACCATCCAATTTTTGGACGAGATCGTGGAAGGCAGAGAGTCAACCGCAGCACACAATAGAGGGCAATGAAATTTGCATACTATGGAATTGCTGATACCATTGCTGAGAGGCACAACAACTTTGCACGGAGATATTTTGAGCAATAAAAGCTACGAG